GAGGAATGAATTATATCTGAACGAAAAGCGTAGGATCAAACGTTTTCAGAACGATAAACGGATTTCGTTTCCGGATCAAAAATATGATTTAACTTTCATATATATGAAGAGTCAATCTCAAGTAACTTTTGATAAAAATAAATGTGTGACGATAGTAAATTAAAAAAAAAAGAAAAAAAGAAATTGTGATTACGCCCAATGAAATAAAAAATATGATTTAATTTTTATTTCACATGGGATGTATTTAGTCATTTTATAATATTTTTGTATTATAAATCAATATTATTCAAATCAATACTCTATTAGATTTATTTTTACCACGAGTATTTATTTACCTAATAAAAATATGTTTAAGTTGCAAGAAATACAAAAAAAAAATTAAAATTGTTTTTTTTTCCTTTGTAGTAATATTTGGTAGGTCAATTCATTATGTTTTTTCAATTTCAATATTTTTTTTTTATTATTACTCTATTACACATATGGATATTATTCTAATGATTTATTCATCGGCATATTAATATATTTACTTTTTGTAAAATAAACAAATATAATTAAAAAATATTCTATTTTCATCAAGTCAATAATCATATGGTCTTACTATTTAACAATATTTAAATAATATTATTCGTTATTGTTTAAACATCAATATTTTTTTATTAGATTTATTAGTAGCACGATAATTAATTTTATTTAAAAATGTATTTTTTTCAAACATAACAAGATTTTTTGTTCATATCATTTTTATTTTATAAATATTACTACTATATCAGTATTTTCTTTAAATAATTAATGGCAATACTTAGCATAATTTCGTTTTAATATTTTTTATAATTTTATATTATTTTTTATTAAATAATCTGACAGTAATAATGATACCAGAATTTAGTTTCATATATTAAATTCCTTCTCTACGTACTTATTTTATGTATTCCTATAGCAGATTTACTTTTTGTTTGTATGTATACAGTTGTAAATTTCAATAAATAAAAAAAAATCCTTCTTAAAAAATCAGTATATCTTATAAAAATATTCGTTGAGTGTTAGAACAAATACATATATTACGTTATGCATTATTTATAAATACACCTCATTAATGTAAATATTATTATGCTTGGTATTTATTAGTTAAACGATTAGATTAATTGATGAAGAAATAGTCTAGGTAGTTGATTTTAACAAAATCATAAGGCATAGCATAGATTAGACATCTCCAGATATTTGATATGACAATCGCAGACGCAAGTTTGAGAGGGAGGAGGGAGGATCGCTCCCTTCCCCCCCCCCTCCAATAAAAATGGAGAGAAAATAAGAATTTCGCTTCGCACCCAAATATTTCGAAGAAAAAAATAAAATCAATTCAGAAAATAGAAACAGCCGACTAGATATCTAAGGTAAGACCTAGATGTAAATACGCAAATATTTTACAACGCACTAATGTTGAAATTGTAGAATATATTCAAAGATTTAGATAAAAATTAAAATATGTAATATATTCAATAGCTTTGTTGACATATTTTCAAATATACCCTTATAACCCATAAAAAAATACTAATGTATAAACATATATATATATAAATTTATTTGTATATATAGTATTATATTGTTCGTTTTACAATAACTATTACTCATTATTTTTACAAATAATGGCATATGCCCCTTCCCCCAGCCATAATAGAAATTCTGCGCCCATGGTGGCAATATTAAATGTAAAGTCTAGAGAAATAAAACTAGTTATAATAAATGTAAGCTGTTAAAGCTGGTTAGAGTCGGAGAGAACCATGTCGGTCTAGATGGCTTGGCATTTTGCGTCCCAGCAGGAGTAATGTTACTTCCCTGTAGGAAAGCCATTGCTTTCTCGACAGTACTTCTTTCCGGGACGGGCTAAAATTGAGGAAAGGTTGTAAGTCATCGAGGGCTTTTCCGAATGACTTAATGCAAACAATAAAGAGATATAATAAAACAAACATGACAGAAACCTCATTTGTTAAATCACTACTGACGTCAGTCACGATACCTTACCAGCATTCATAATTTTAGTGGAATGATTTTGATCTCATGGTTCTTGAGGAAAAGAGCTATACTTGTTGAGTATATTAAAACATTTGAAAAAAAATTCTAAATCATAATTTAGAAATTATAAATATAATTTTCAATTATATCCGAAGATTCAATAAAATGTTTTTGTTTTGATCGTAAATCACAAATTTACTAATCTTTCCTTTAAATAAGGGTTGAAGTATTTATGAAAAAAAAGTGTGTTTATAAAACATTATTAAATCAGATGTTGAAACTTTTTAAAAAGTTCAATTCTAATATTTTCTGTAAAACATTATAGGAAAAAAGTGAATAAAATAAAAGTTCTAAGCATCTATTTTGTAATAAGTTCTAGGCCCATGGTAGAAGTTTAACTTGTGTCTATTGAAGTTCTAAAAGAAACCTTCCGTTAAATGAAGAATAAACAATAATCGGGCTCAGATTAGAATTAGAATTTATCTTAAATGAATTACACATGATTGTAATGCGTGGTTTGTTAGAGTAGCTACAATAAATGTGATTTTTTGGATCGACTTTTTCGCGAAATCGGCAGCAATTTTAAATAAAAGTTCTGTAAAACCTATATAGGACTTGTAAAATACAGGAGAAAAATATCTAGTACCAAAAGAATTGGAAAACAATCGATAATAAAAATTCTGGTGAAACCAAAACTTTGAAAAAAATTTCATTTCAAGCAATGGTTTAAATACCAAATATCGTACATACTTGAATTAATCATTATGTAATATTATTGTAATGCAGTACCGAACAAACGAATTAATTTTTAATAACACATAACGAAATTTACAACCTACCTACTAATCATGAAGTAATGATAACATTTGTTTTATTTAATTGAATTCATAAACGAATATTAGTGGAGATTAGATAATTTAAAAAAAAAAATTAAAAATTCCTAGTAATAGCTGGAAGGCAGATTAAACTGAGAAAACCTAGAAGACCTTGGTTGGTTCTTTTTCTGAAGCTGAGGCTCATACAAAAGAGGGAGGAGTTTTTTCTCTGTATCTTTCATCTGAAGGATATTGTAGCAAGGAAGCCGCAACATCAACATTTTTGTTGACATTGTTGCAAAGTTGCCGCAACCTTCCACCCCGACCAAGGACGCCGGCCTGCGACGTTACCCCCCTAGCAGGCCAGTTACAGTTTGAGAGTAATTGGTGATTCATTCATCTTATCGTATCCACGCCGTAATTCGTTATACAATTTTCGTGAGGTCAATCGGTATTTAGGAAAAAACTATTATAAGCGTACGAGCCTCACGGTTAAAAATAAAATATGATAACGACATATTCTATCAAAATGGAAATTTATCTTTACTTCTTTAGAAAAACTATGAAAAAATAAATTGAATAAAACATTATTAGATTGTAAAATAAATAGTAATAAAAATAGGTTCAAGTATGAACGGTGTATCAAGGAGGAAGGGGGTGTGAGCCCCATTCTTCACTCACTTAACACGAAAGCATTTTTTTAATTTGCAATTCAAGTTTAAATTTTATTATTATTATTTTTGATAGAGGCCCTCAAAAATAAATACGCTACGTTTCCCCAATTATAGAAATAATTCAGTATTAAGTAATGGACTTGATATATGTACACTAATTCACATTTGCAATTCTGAAATTTTAAAAAGAATTAAGACAGAAATAAATAACAATGAAGTCGCCAAATCCTTTAAAAAGTGAAGTAAGAAACTTCAAAAGGCGTTTGACAACTTTCAAACTCAGCCTTTTAGTTTTTAAATCACTTTTAAACTTCGGCTACAGAGAAATCAGATCTATCTCAAACATTTACATTAATAATCAACTAAAAATAAAAATAAAATCATATACAAAAAATGTTATTTAAATAATAAAAAATATTTTTATAAAATTTCAAGCTGTTCACTGTAAATTTGGTTATTCAATAGCATCAATAAAATAATTTGCTCTAAAATAACTTGAATTAAATATTAAAAATTAGAACATGGCTAAGATATTAACTTCGGGTAATTTCAAAAATACATTATAAGTTGAATTAAGTAATTATAATTCTGAATGCGCCTAGGTAAATATTGCGAGCACTTTATTGGACATGAATAAATATAAAAAAAATAAATAAATAAATAGAACCAGAGATAAAAAGATATGGAAACCCAGTTTCTACCTGAGAGCCAAGTTCATTGAGCATTCTGGCGTTTCTAGTACCGTTACCAGCCCGTAGTGACTCTAACAGCACTTCCGATACCAGTTACAATGACAGTCAATGGTTTTTGGTAACGTTACTATTAACCGCACGACCTATAGTATGTTTCAACATAAATATCGTTTACGAAACAGCCATTTAAATAAATTTTTAATTAATAAAATTTTGGTGTAAAAAATAAAATTAATTATATTATAGGACTCGGTATAAAATATTATACGACTTTAATTAATTTCATTAACTTATTACACCAGTTACAGTGATGTAATTGTGACGACTAACACGAACGAGTAGAGTCAAATAAACGACACCAGTGACATTTCCCCCTGCGTCATCTCGTTCATTTGACTTTTAAAATTTTATCTTCACGTCAGACGCCACTAAATGTTAATTGTTTTTCTAGCGCTCCTAGCGATCCCTATTGAAAAATGATCTCTCCTCTTATCTATCCCTTATCAAAGCTCTGTTAACTCCGCCTGCCTCGGCTCGGCCCTACTCAAACACAAATATTTGACTCCTACTTACAAAATCAAAGCGATATTTGTCACGAGGGGAAAGGAATACAAATCTCTACGGTTTAAATTATGTATGAGCCTTCATTAAATACTGTTTTTCAAACCGTTTCGGGGCGAGTGTGTTTGTTTACCGTACGGGAACTGTTATTGCGATACTCTGCCCTTATGTAAGCGGAGGAGGCGTGACCGAGGGTTCGTCACCGACGCTTTCATGGCTACATTATAAATAGAACCGCTTAAAATATTTTACTCGATATAAACTAGGACTGAATTCATGAAATCAATATTTATGACAGAAATGGGATTATAACCAGTTCTAGCTAAAGGAGGCCATGCGGCATTCCAGTGAACAGCTTTTGAAACCTTCATAGGGGTCAGGTTAAGTTTACCTTCTTGTTCCGTCCTAGGTTCCTCTTCGGAGTAGAAGACTTCCTCTTCGAGGCTGTACTGAACATCGCGGAGTCCGCTGCGTTCTCGACTCCTCCGCTCGTCTTCGTCCTCGAAGTAACCGCTCTCGTGCTCCGTCTTGTGGACACCCATCTTCATCTTGTTATCCGTCAGCACATCAAGTGGCACGAGTGACAATGTATCAAAGAGGGCACTACCGTTTCCACATGAATGTTAACGAAATATTTAAAAAAAAATGTATATATTCCGAGAGAATAAAAACAGTAAATGACAACGCACTGAACGATTAGAAAAAAAAAAAAAGAGGCACTGTTATGGAGTAAAGTAAACTATAAAAATAGCCCGCTCGGAGGGACACTTGACATACCTCCCTTGGAGGCTACGAACCGACTGGCTCTCGTGGCTTCCCCCCACCGTAGTAACAGCTGATGGCGGCGCATGCGCATCTTTCACACCATGCCCGACATCTGCTCGCTCTTGGCAAACTCCATGGATTGATTTTTATTAATACAATAGCCAGTTCTCGTTCACTCTAATTGCTTCCATAATCAGTTCTTGATACACTTGCTATAATGCTCATTGTATATATTGTCAATCCTTAATCCGCCTCTTCTGTATTCTCCTTGCGACCTCTATAACTTTCCCTTGTAACATATTTACTTTGCTCCGAAGGTCTGAATTTTAGAATAGCTCATTACAAAATTGGATTTGAATAATTTACTCAGTTATTAAATCGACGATAACTAATTCAGACAGGAAATCTCGTACTTATATTGACTGCAACAACCTGTTAACTCAGTCTATTTAACATTAATCAAAAACATGTTCGTCAGACCAATTTTCAATCGTTCAAGTTTGTCCTTTTTTTCTAATTTTAATTTTTTTTTGTTTTTGACTTAATTAAGGTATTTACATTGAAAAAAGTAAAGACCGTCAGACGCAGTATCTATTCTGGCCATATTTATCGCGATTAAAAGTTAAATAAAATAGAAAGGAAATACCAAAAATACGGTTGCTAAAAACTACTAAAAATGGAGCATTTTAGATTTGAAGTTTGACTACCATTAGTGTTGCCCAAAATCGGTCTGTACTTAGCAGCAACACTATTTCAACACCGAGAACCAAGATTGGTAAACAAAAAATCGTTTTTGTAAATAAAAATTAAGGCAAAATAGTTACTAATACTTGACTATTTCAGTTAATATATATAAAGAATTGGTACAATCAATATACTTTTCCATTTAACTTTTCAAATTTTTCGTTCTTCCTTAGTTAGGTTTCTCCTATATAAAAAATTGCAGTAATAGACTCTATTACTATAGTCTATAGTAATAAGACTCTATAACTATAATATCTCTATAGTTATAGACAAATAGGCAACTGTAAGACTGCAATAAGCTGTCATAACAACAAGTTTTATAAAATTTTCTTCTTTCTATAATTATCATTTTATAATACATATATATTTTTGTTCTTTTAAGCTTAATCTAGATTTATTTTTATTATAGTATAGATAAACATAATTTTATAAAATTGTAAATATGTTACACTGCCGTATACACTTTTACAATTGTAAATACAAAGGATCGGAAATTTATATTACGTACAAACATTACGAGTGATAAATAACATAACATAATATATTATAAAATGAAGAATATAATAATATTTATAAAAATATTACCTGTACAGGTACAGAAAGAAACCAATAAGGAAAAGTTACAAGACGAGTCTTGGTCTTGCAAACTCTGTCTTGGCCATGGTCTTGGTCTTGCGCAAGAGTCTCATATCAGTCTTGCAGTTACTTATCAGCTTATTGCTATAGAGATATTACTGTAATCTTTTGGAAAGGAGAAACCCCTAACTAAGCCCGAATGAAAAGTTAGAGGAGTTAAATGCAAAAGTACATTGGTTATACCAATTATTAACGTATAGTAACTAAGATTGTTAAGTATTAGTAACTATTTTGCCTTAATTTTTAATTAAAAAATCTTGGAAAGTGCAAGACCAAGACAGATTTTGAGCAACAATAATAGTAAGTATTTTTTTTTAATAAATAAGAGTATTCATTAAGAAGGTTGTGTGAAAATATTTCCATTTACTTCTGTAAGTTCAACGTATCATCTGTATTCATATTTCTTTTTATGAATATAAATATATTCATATTAATAATTATAATTACCATATATATAAATGGTATTCGTATTTATATTTTTGAATATAAATATGCCCATATGTGCTAGTTACCTACCCTACTCTATGAAAGGAAGAACCTCTGGATCTCGCTGGACAGGTACTATAGTCTGTGGGCCAGACCCCCTTACCGTGCACTCTCCCTCCCCCCCCCCCACATCCCTATAAATTGCATATCGTTGTGTTCCTTGTAACTATTTATTAAAAAAAAGCCAATGTTCCCACAAAAAAAAGTGAACGCACTGCCCCAAAATGGCGTCCAAAGATGGCGGATTGACGACTTTGACTTTATTTAGTTTTTTGGTCACTGAGAATCAGCATTTGGCTTAATTTCCTCATAGTTGGTCTTTTATTAAAGCTGAATAGTCATAGAATAATAAACCATGAAGAAATATTAAAAAATAATTGGCTTAGGCTATGAAAAACACTACTAAAGTCAATTTTTTTAACAAAAAAATTTTCAAGTTAAAAATCAAGCGTCATTTGTAATTAAACGGCCTACAATAACGCAAAACATGCTGAAATAAACCATCTGGAGAATATATTCTTCTTTAAAAAACGCTGATTATTTTTTAAAAACTTTTAAACGGTTCCGTATAAAATGCACTTATGCGGCAGAAAAGCGGTACTGGCGTGGGTGCCTACAGGCCTCTACCACACCATTCAGTACACATAAATGGCTTAGTTAAAGTGATATAATAACATTTTTGGTACATTATATTGGACGGAAGAGACAAATTTAGAGAGGATATTGAGTGACCTGGAAGTACCGACTTTATGAGGCACGGTCGTAAAGAGACAATTGAGACGATTTGGCGGTCTGTGCCGATTGGATGATGAGGACCATGACCCAAAGAAGCTTTTTGAAGACAAGGATGTCGTCTTCGAGGAAGATCTAGGTTGCAATCAACGTAGTACCTCTCCAGGATTGACCAAAATAAGTCGAAGTCTAAGACCTCCAATAAAGAACAGGTTCGGGATGCTTGGCAAAGCGGGAAAGAATAAATATTAACAATAAGTCACTTTCCCCTTTTATTATTAACAATAATTCAATTTTTCCTACAAAAGTACTCATTCCATTTATACACTTGACCCTTCATTCATGTTATCTTTAACCTGTGTGTACAGCTATAGAGCTGTAGTGTTGGCTTTTAAATAAAGAGAAAACTATTTATTTAAAACGATCAATAAAGCTCCATATAAAAGCTACTAAACCACTAAAGTCCTGCGATAAAACGAGTATTTTCTGGCTTCAAATCTATGCCACTTGATAAGTTTCGCACGGCTATAGTTTCACTTTTATTAATCTAAGGTGTCGAAACCGGTTGATTATGATAAAAATCAAAACGAGATTACATCGGAAGATTTATCAACAATATTCAAAAGGATGGTATCGAAGAGGATCTAACTTTCGCCAAGAAAAGCAACAATAGACTAGTCAAATTAAAAATAGCATACAAAAATTCCTTTAAACGTGAAGCGAAATTTTCGCAAATGAATAAATTATCAAACGGAAAAAAAAACAATCTGAAACACCTAAAAAATTACATCAATAAATTATCAAGGTAATTTTCATTAGTAAATATTTTATTGTTAACTATAGGTATTAATGACAGTGTTAAAATAGTATATAAAGTAATTGATACTTGGAATAATTATGTCAAGCTTTCTTCATATAGAACGATAAAAAAACGAATTTATATCATAACGTATTCAGAAACAAAAAAATGAAAAGTAGATAAATATATGAATTATTTAACTAAAAAATAAACTCAGCTATATTCAAGATTAGGTTATAAATAAAGTGTTAGATTAACCTTTAGTACGATTTGATAAGTTTTTATAAGCGTAAATGCTACTGATAAAAACGTTATCGTTCAAGGATATATGTTGATTTATGATTTGATCAATGGATGGAAACAAAGTTCTGAATGATTTTAATTTCATTTTTTAAATATTAAATTATCCCTAAATAAAATAATATTAATATATAAACAAACGTGGCAGTAAAAAATGATTTAGATATACAGCGGGTCCTACGATTCACAACACGTATGTTAATGGTCTATATTAGTAAAGCTATTTAAAGCAATAAAGTCTTCAGATAAAAAATAATAATAATAAAAATGCAGTTTTCGACTGAAGATTATAGTTAATATTTATTACGTTTATGATAATTCTAATAGAATATTTGATTTTCTAGAGATAGAATGCTAGAAGATAGGCGCTACATTAGCATTTAAAGGAGATGTAATAAATAATAAACAGGAGTGAAAAAATGTCAGACTGACAGGAAATATAAACGGTACTAACTTAAATGTAATAAAATTAATTCAGCAATAAATGTTAAAAAAAAAGATTGATAAAAACGTAACCAATAATGAACAAACAGAAAATGAAAAATAATATTCGCATATACTTGCAATGCTTGTTTTTTTGTCATAAAGTATTTGAGGACAAAATTTTTTACTCAATATGGGATTATTACTCTAAATGTTAGGCCCTTTAGTCATGGGATAGCCCATAGTTGGGGAATCTTTTTATCATTAGACGCTGTAGTAAGGTTAGGCAGTGCTAATTAGTGTTTCCCGAAATCGGTCTTGCACTTTGCAAGACCAAGACTAAGAATGAATAACTGTTGCAAAACCAAGACGTAGGCTGGGAAATAATTTTTTTTTTAATATAAAAATTAAGGCTAAATAGTTACTAATGCTTGACAATTTATTTACTATATGTAGAGAATTGGTATAACCAACATACTCTTGTATCTAACTCTTCTAATTTTTCGGTCATGCTTAGTAAGTTTTTTCCTATCTAAAAAATTACAGGAATATATCTATAGTAATAAGCTAATAGGTAACTGCAAGACTGTTGCCAGACTCTTGCTCAAGACCTAGACCAAAATCAAGACTGAGTTCGCAAAACCAAGACTTGCCTTGGTCTCGCATTTGGGCAACAATAGTGCTAATGGAGGACGCAACTATATACTTTATATTTTACTGTTACTATTTTTTATTTAAATCTATTCATTTTCAAAATTTTAAATCTATTCAATTCAAATAATTAAATATTAATTAATTCTAGCGCTAGATTAATGAATATCGCGTAAAAACGTGGAGGGCGTCGGTTTTCCACCTCCGTCCATTTTTAACTTTCCAAACAGAGGTTTTATAATCATTGCAAATTAATGTAATAGGACACATGCATTAATTGAGCTGAACATATTAATAATGGGTACAATTTGTTGAAGTTA